ATCATCGTAGAAGATCTATTATCGTGGCTACTCCTTTTGTTGTTCCCATGAAACCTATTAGCAGCCTACCCTCTGTCCCATGTTGAAGGTCTACTTTTTAACGGTGAAGTGCGAAGCCATGTACCATATTACCTCGCTAAAGTATTATGATCTCTTTTTCTTTTTTTTCCTCACATTCATCCTCAATATAACCCAGCTTCCTACAAACGTAACAAAAGCTTGGTAGCCATTCTTAGGATAAGCTACCTTATATTTCCTTTCCTTCTTCCCCATTAGTGAGCAGTACTGCCCTACGCAGAGGTTTTGTAATATCAACTTCTATTTTGATACACAAAAATTGAGCCTATCTTCTTGCTCCAAGGTCGCATCAACTGACTTAAAACCACTCATCTTTCTTTCTATCATAGTCACATTCATCTAGTTCATCATCCCTAAAGGCAAACTATATACCTTTATCCAGAATAAAACACTTGAAAATGCATAGTCTTCCGGCTACAACTTCTCATCAAATTCATTAAACATGATCAATTATTTATCAAAACTCCATGGCGATCCATCAATCACTCTTTACATATCTAGACATGTTGAAAATTTAAATAGAAATAAATTATCATCTAGCTCCACAATTTTCACCTGTTCGGCCAACTTCCATAATATCTTCAACGTGTTCTTCATTACCTCTTTGCTACAAGCTCTCGTTGTTAATACTTTCCCTACCAACCATGATTTTTTGCTTTATCCATCATTGTTTGTCACCTTGGTATTTGCTTCGATTCCCTCTTTTTTTATTTCAGTCAATTGTAAATGCTTTCATAAGCCCTTTAATTCATTATCCTTCCTTGCAAAACTTACTACCACAACTTCCACCCATAAAACTCAAAGACCACTTAACTAGATAAATCATGAGACGAAGTCACTTGCATACCACACAAGAAATACTAACTTCCTATAGTAGATCATCTCTCAGGAGACTTTAAATTAATTCAAGTTTTATTTCATTTTTTTCTACTATTTTTTTCTATATACAAACAACATATAAATGGTGAAAGATTAGATCACTCAAACATCAAAATTTCTTCTACCCTCCAATCATAAATCTCTTGATTAGTTGAAGGAAAATATGACATATAAATTTCTACTTCCCTTTTAACCATACCATTCATATCTCTCTAACTTTCAAATTTATAAAAAATTGACCTAGCAAGAATTATAAACTATAAATTTCTTCAATCACTCATTCTTTCATGTAATATTTTGATTGTGCTTTAATTCCAACATACCAAATCTTGCCATGTTTTAGACCTAAGTAAATCACTTTATAATCTCCTGTGAATATTTTGTAAATTATAAAGTTTATAAAAAAAAAAGGTTCAATGATAAGAAATAAATTTGAAATTGCGGTCAAAATTATTTGCAATTTTGGACATGGAGGATATTAAGGTAATGAATGTAGAATCTTTGAATTGCTTTATCTTAGTTTACTAATATCTTGTTCTATATTGTTGTGGTTTTTTCTTTTTTTTTTTGGTTAAAATATTAAAAAAAATTTGAACTTTATTATTTTATTAGATAAATTTTTATATTTTTATTGTATCAAAATAAATTTTTATTCTTTTATTTGTATCTAAGTATATCTTTATTTCAAACAAAAATTGATTTATGTTGAATGTTTATGGGATACAAATTAAAGGATAAGAGTTTATTTAGAAACAAATTAAAGTTTAAAGATTTATTTGGGTATAAATTAAGTAAATGTTAAAAACTTATTTAAGTACAATAAAAATGTAAGGATTTATCTAAATAAATTGGTAAAATTCAAAAACTCTATTATTTTTGTTTATTTTCTTCTTATGCCCTAAATTATTTCACTCAAGTTTACTTTAAAAGATGAACAACAAAAAATTCATATGCCCACTGACAATTACTTCAAGTGGTATGAATAAGTTTTTTTTTTTTTTTCCTTATGAATTAAGGTTAAAAAAAAAATTTTTTTTATCAAAGTTCAATTTTTATAACACTTCAAATATAAAATCTTAAATGCATCAAATTCAAGTTAAAATTTAAAAAAAAAAATGATCCTAAACAACCGAACTTAACATAGAGGCCTAAGGTATGACAAATGTTAGTTCTTCCCTTTGTTAAAAGACTTTAGGAGGGGGTTATTTTCGTTAAAAAGTAAAAAATGATTGGACTTTATATCATAAAATATTTTGAGGTAATTGTTGACATCCAAAATAATCCATAAAATAGACCAAAGAAGTTAGCCCATAAATAAAGTAATTAAGTTACATTCAAAGCAATTAGTATGTATTGGCTCAATAACCAAACGAATAAAATAATTAGATAGTCCAAACCATGTGATTCCTTGGATTATTAGTTCAATTATTTAAAGTTAATATTCGATTAATTAAACTAATCCAAGGATAATAAAGGCCCAAATTTGTGTAAAGCTTTATGGTCTTAGACCATTTTTAGCTTAAATATAACACGAAGTCCATTACATGCGAATTAAATCCAATCCATAAAAGTTCGAAGAGTACCACACAATTGAAACTGTGTGGTGACAAGCCTTATAGGGAAAACTAGCAAAGTGGCAGATATGGGCCGTTTGTAACTGTTAATGCGCAGCTCCTCAATTAAGGTAAAGGCTAAAAAGTCAGCGAATTCAATAAAACTGAATTTTTGCTGAATTACTTGATATTATATTGAAGTTGAAGGTGATGAATTCGAAAAAATTTATATATTTACACTCTTTAATAAGCATAAAAATATAAAATTTAAGGATAAATTAAAAATTATAAAAAAAACTTTAATTTTTAATATTTTTAAGGCATTCTCGAGTGAGATTAATATAAGAAAAAAATTCAACAAATGGTAGAGATATTTTAGCCTCAATGTTGAATAGTTATCAACATTCTGATAGAGAGTAATTTGGCTTGAAGGTTAAGAAAGCAAAAGCCGTTGAAATGATTTGCAACTAATAGTAACATGAAATGAAGAACAACACAGGGAGTAGTTTTCGCCGACGATGAAAACATGAAGGCAAGGAACGACGTAACAGAAGTTATAACTAGGAAGCTAAGATTTATGTTCTCTTCTTCTTTCTTCTTAAATTTTTTTGTTTAAATATGAGTTAAAATCTAGTAAAACACGTTCTTAAGATAAAGAACACAATGCAGTTATCTTACTGTTTTATTGCATTTTATTTTGCCGATAGATGCATGTTTACGTCTGACAAAAATAAAATAAATATATTTCATATTTTTATGTGGATATAAATTATAATATGATAATTTTGATATTTTATTCGTGTTTAATATGAAATGGATATGACACAAATATATAAATTATCATATCTAATTGTAATAGCATACCTATTTGCTTTTGCATTGAATAAATATTATTATGAATAAATTTATCTAAAAATAATTAAGAATGAAAATTAAAAAATATTGACAAAAAAATCTTTCTCATCAACTAGAACATATATATATATATATATTATGAGTCATGCTATTTACTCCAATAATTTTGTTCCAAATATTTATTATTTTTTTTATAAATAATCATGTTTTGTTATTATTATATTACAAAATTATAAATATAGATAGAGAGACAAATTATAGATTAGATTATATTTGTATCTATATCATCAAATTTTCTGATTGCTTTTGATCCTAAAACTCCACGAAAAATGATATGAAATTTAAATCTTTATGGGTTGTGCATGAAATAGAATTCTATTGCAAGGATGAGAAAGGAAAAGACTTGAAAATAAGGAAGGGACCAGAATGTCGTCAAAATTGACGTAAAATTTATTGCTAAAATTTGTGCAAATTAGTTATGACACAAGGGCCAAAGCTCATATCGTAATGATCTTTTATAATACTATATTTATGCAGCATTTTTTTATAGATAAAATGGGGTTATCCACCAGAGTCTAAAGAGGATATAGCTCATAAATTCAAAGCCAACTAAAAAAGAATATAATGAGGGTAGAATGCTAACCAAGGAAGGATATATAAAATGATAAAAAGGGTGGTTTTACTTGATGTATGAATGGATGAGTGATGACACAAATTAATTTATTCACAAAAAAGATAAAAGGAGAATTGAGGTTTTTATGTTAAGTTTAATAATTTTGTTAACTTTCAAGATGTTAAATATACATATATGGATTTCAAAAAAAGAAAAATGTTTTTTACTTAAAATATTTATTCCGCTAACAAGTTCTTGCTTTTATAATTAATCACACTTTAATAAAATTGAACTAATCAATGCATTTAATTTACAGATTAGTGCATTATCACTCTTAAAAATGGGATAAAAATAAATTTATCACTCTATTATAAGTGAACATCGAAGTTTATTTCATTTTCATTGAATTTTGTGACTACATTTTTTTTTTTTTTAAATTTTTGGACCAAATCTATTATAAAAACACATTTTTAGATTAAGTTTTGTATAAAACATGAATATGACGTAAATATTCCATATGTAGCAAAAATGTACATGTGGTGTACCGAGTTGGAAGAAATATTTCTTTTATGTAACTTTATAATAAAATAAATACCTTTCAAATTTTAAAGACAAAAAAATATATAGAGAGAGAAACTATAGGTTTGTTTAGTCAAGAAATCTGAGAACGTAGCCAGCTTTGACAACAATAGTTCATATTATTTCTACCAAGCTCAGCTATATATATATATATATAATTTTTTTTCTCCTTTGATTGTTTATCCGGCTTCTTTTATTTGCTAAATTAAAATTATTTTTTGAAAAATATTTTCATATGATATCTAAAAACATGTAATTAAGCATAAAATTTTATAAAAAACGAAAAATCTTTTTTTTTCAACGTATATATTTTAGCTATATATGAATTATCCACGTTATATCATCTTTATTAAAACCTTATTTTAAATGCGTTATCTGGATGTTTTACAAAATATTCTATTTTCTTTTGCTTTAGTAAAAAAAATACCAAAAATGAAAATGCAATGGCAGAATTCAATAAAAATGAAAGAACAATGAAAACATTCAATGACGTCAAACTAAAGTGATAACATTTAATATTCATCTATGATACAATAATAAATTTGCCCCTTATCCGAAATATATATATATTAGTGCAGTATTTATTTGAAGAGTTGAATTTTAATCTTCTTTTTTCGATTTATAAAAGAAAAAAATGTAACATACCATCCCTAATTTAATTGGCTCAACTAATAAATCATAGCATAAAAATTTTATTACCTCACAATAACTATGACACATGTTCCACTTGTATTAACATGCAATTACATGATAAATTTACCTTGCACGATTGTTTGCAAGCAACAACTGAATGAAGAGAACAACCCGCCACCCTTCAAGACGAGCCACACATAAACACCAAATAAGAAGGCTCGGATTGTAAGATCATTTTACATGATTAAAAATATGTTGGGAGGTTCAGTCATTCTTTCAACCAACACCTGACTGCACAAGCAATGGAAATCCATCTTCATTCTTAAGAAGTAAGAAACCGATATATCTACAAGCAGAAATTGTAAAAGCACTTACCTTTAGTTAGTCACTAAAATCCATGCTCCCGCTGCAAGAACTGCTAGCATTACGACTGTGTAATGGCATGCCTCTCATATGACCAACCACAGCAGAACCATCTACCTTTTCTCCTGAAAGTATCTTTCTCTCTCAATATGTTTTGCAGGGGGAGGAGGAATTGCAACAGCTGAAGGACTTGCATTGCTTTCACATGATGGTTCCGATGGCAATGGTCGAATAAGTGGACGGTTTAGCCTTTCTTTTTCTCCAAGAACGTGTGACCCAAACAAACGTAAGTGTGGCTGCACTCTAGAGCACTCTTCATCTTCTGGTTTTGCACATGCTTTCCCCTTTTGTATCCTATAAAGTTTGGAAGTTGAAATGAAAGAATTTTGTCAATTCATACAATCAACAAAAACGAAATAAAGGCAAAAATTAGAGTAGCAAAATTTTATCCCTCAATAAAGCAGTATTCTATCTGTTCAAACTAGGATAGAATAGTTGGGTCCTTTCCTATTACTTTAAGCTCTTGGGAGAACTGATCACCCTAATTAACACTTTATAAGAACTCTTGAGTTCAAATCTTGAACCTAGTGTCTTGTTACCTATTGTGTGCAATGCTGCTCTAATCCTTCTTTAGCATACACTTCCTTTTTCACTTGGGTCCGCATGCAAACAATTAATCATTCATCCGCTTGCATGTTAGAACTTAAATACTATGTTGCTCGAACTCATTAAAAACGGAGGCACACCCGTCTTGACATGACTTGAAACTAATCATGATATTTGATGTGTCTAAGATGGCAAAAAATCTCACCACAAATAGGCAGCAAAGGATAGCTAGATGTTAGTATCAATTAATACTTTGTTTTCTCAAATCTTGCTTTCACTAGTGTGCTCCATATACTGGAAATCCAAAAGCAGAGAAGGGTAATAGAGAGAGAAAGAAGAAGATAAGGAAAATAGGTGAGTCACTTTAAGTCATGGCTGCAGGAAAGAATAAGAGAAAGGAGTAGCAGTAAAAAAATACAGTTGCAGAGGACTGAAAACGAGAGAGAGAGAGAGAGTTAAACAAAAGCAATCTTGAAATTTTAGGGTTTAAAGTAGAATGAAGTTTGTAGCCTTTGAGTGGCCACCTGGGCCTACTAGGTTTTTAAAGGTTGTTTAGGTTTATAAACTCAAACTCAATTAAAACTTGGAAATTTTTTTTTTTAAATTCAAAGTAAAAAAGGCTCATTACAATTTCTCTTTTTTTTCTTTTTGTTTTTTTTTTTTCTATTTTAAAAAGGAAAAACCATTTCTATCCTCTTATTAGCTTCATTAAATTAAAAATGATCATACACCATTTAGAATCAAACAAATGTGATATATAGAAATTAAGGGTAAAATATACCATTAGTCACTCAATAATGGTCTTGTTTTTAAAATGATCACTTAATTATTAAAGTTTTTCAATTTAATCACTAAAATTTGTGTAAATTTTTGTCACCCAACCATTAATCTCTAATGGCGTGCCAACATGACAGTGTCGTGGCATTGCCACATCATCCAATATGCCAAGTGACATTATAAATTTTGAGAAAACAATAATTTTGCTAGCGTAACAATGTTACATGGTAACTAACAGGAGACATAGTATTGTCATGTCAACACACCATTAGAAACTAATGATTTGATGATCAAAAACACACTTACTCAAACTTTAGTGACTAAATTGAAAAGTTTGCTAATTTAGTTACCATCTTAAAAGCACAACCATAGTTGAGTGACCTACCTCCCTCGATGCGCTTGGCATGAGTTGAACAGTCTAGGGCCTGCTCTGATACCACTTGTCAATCTCCAAGCTCATGCGGCTCCAAGACCCAGGCATACACTCATCCGACGTTCCAGATCAGTCTAATTGTCACGGTTCACATTCTTGTAAGGTATTGTCCGCTTTAGCTCATCTAACCTCACAATTTTGTCTTACAAAAGACGCCTCACAAGGAAGAGGTGGTGTGAACCCTTTTATACTCCAATGACCTCTCTTTCATGTCCGATGTATTGGAGTACCTTGCCTACTCCCTCTTGGAGCGCTTGGCATGACACCTGCACCCGTATACTACTTTTGGATCCCTTTTTAGTGGTATATCCTTTTGTATTAGATTTAAGACAATTAAAAAGTTACACATTCTAACACATAAGCTTACCCAACTCTGAGCTACATGGCTAAAATAAAATAGTTGGGTCCTTTCCTATTTAGCTTAAGCTTTTAGGAGAATTGGTCAACCAACATAATGTCTCAAAGAGAAAACCGATAAAAAGAAAAGAGAGAGCTTTATTTATTTTCTAGGAATGTTCGAATCTTCAAAAGATAGGCATACCTTCTAAAAAGTTGTTCTGGCTCTTCTTCTTCCTCTTCTTCATGGTCAAAATGATTTAGAGTTGACATTGGCCTATTTGAAACAGAGGTTCTCCTGGAGAGAAGAGTATCATGCCTGACAAGAACTTTTTGGAGTTTCTCATTCGACTCAATTGCTCGAGAAACCACCTTCTCATCCCTGAATAAATAAAAGACAGCATCCAACTAAGCTGCAACACCAAATTACTTGAATTCTATATGAAGTCTGAAGTGAAAAATTGTTAAGGAATTGCAATATGCATCCTAGCATTTCATAAACAAAACAAATAACCTCCAAGTTGGGCAACTAGCATATAATCATATAACTTCTACTTGAGTGTAAGAATGCAGTTTCACTTTCACAAAAAAAAAAATATATTTCCAAAAAACCATGGTAAAAAATATATGATTATATATCCTTTTGTCACAATGAGCCATAAACAATCATAGGTATTTTATTTGCCATGGGACTGCATGCCACTATTGATACCCTGGCTTTCCCTCTCCATTCATCCTAATAACCATCATTCCATTTGCCATGGTACTACATGCCTCTAGTCCACGCTGCACTTGCAACTAAAAATAATATAGCCAGTAAATGCACCCATTGGAAAGAAAGTAACAGTTTCTCTTTTTCTCTCTAACACAACAGTAAATGGTTTCTCAGAATTCAAAATAATACTGTGCTCCTAATTGCAAAGCAGCCCTTACTGAGAACTCATCACAAGATGCATCACTCACTGCTTCTGGAATGAACATTGTTCCACAAGGTCAAGTGTAAACTCATCCTTTGCACCCTAAAAGAAGCATACCATAGCAGTCAAAATGACAGATCCCAGGTCAAAATTTTATACATGCATCTGAGGGTAATAAAATGCATCAATCATGAGGCATGTAAGCATGGAAATATCACCCATACCTCAGGATTTTGGGCATCAACTGCATCGAGTACTTCTTTTAAAACCTCTAATGCATTGCTAGCCTTCTGAATAATGCTGTAATGAAAGAAAAACAGACTTGAGGAATTTTGTTTACTAGACAAGATAATCATGATGAAACAAACAAATATCTCATATATCAATGTATTAGAAATGTATTTAGCTATTAGTAAGCATAAAAATTAATTTTTTAAAGAAACTTAAAACAGATAGCCAGTAAAAAAAACCAACATATCCTACTTCCCTAAAATGAATAAAGCATTTCATACATTAAAGAAGGTCAGTGTGCTTTTAGATAAGCTAGATAAAATTTCATGTTTTAACCTTCTGTACAATGTATAGCTAAAAAAAAGGAAAACAGCCCTCTTATAAAATGGAATAACTAGTAAAGATAAGCCAAATGACACACACATGCTCAAAAGAAGGAAAAAAAAAAAAAAGGTTACCTGGACTCAGGAACAATCTTAGTCTCTGTTTGCTGTGCAACTGCCTCATGTCTAGTGGAGGCAAGTTCCCCATTAAGTGTATTATTCTTATTTGGTAGTGAAGTTGGTGGATTTGATAGTGTAGCATGAGGCCTTTGAGTAAATTCCACTCCAGAACTCTAAAAGGATTAACAAAGAAAAGGAAAAATGCAGTTACCATCAAATTCACTAGAATTGCATCTACTAATTACGTGTTCTCAGGAATAAAACAACAGAAAATTACTTATGCAGCACGTTTATTTTACACTCAGGAAAACGTATCAAAATAGAGTGTTGGATAACACTGGACCTTAAGAAGCATATATTCCTAGGAAGCACACTTTTCAATAATGGAAAGTTATGAAAAAAATACAGAAAAACTGACAGAAAACTAGGGAAACAGTTTCTATGCACTAATGTGTTCATCTTTCTCAAAACCATGCTTTTCAGAAAGCTAATTAAAAAAGGTTAAATATCCACTCATGTCCTAAAATATCATCTATTGTGTTACTATAAAAAGAACTTGGAACTTTCACAAGATAGCTTATGAATCGCACCTGTTAGTGTATGCTTGTGTGTGAGTTGGAATATTATATGAATATTCCATGGGAGACAGTTTAGGAGGGATTAATTGGGAGCATTAATGTATAATTTGTAATTGATTCGCTTTCCTTAGTTTTGCCAATGTAATGAAAGGATAATCCAACGGATTAGCAAGTTGTTCTCTAAAACTTTAATTCTAACATGGTATAAGAGCCAGCAGCGCAACCCTAGCCCCTGCCCCCCCTTTCTCTCTCTCTTTCTCCAAACCCCTTTGAGATAGCCCCTACATTGTCACCTAAGCCGTTGCTACTACAGACTTTGATCTTGCAACCCTAAAACTGCATATTTAAAACTTTCCTTCCTCTTTAGTAGTCCCTCATTAGTTGAAAGGAGGACGCCCCCTTATTCTCAAAAGAGGCAAGAAAAAGCGGTTGCAACCTTTTCGTGAATGATAGATTAAGGGACACAAGTTCTTCTCAATATAGAGCATGGCTGCAAAACTAGTGATGGAGTTCCTAGTTGTTGTTTACCGGTTGTGTTACCCGATTGAAAGATTACCAGTTGTGTTCTAGAGGAAGAAGGTTCTATGTCCATGGCAAAAAAAGAGGCAATCGCATCGAAGGTGATAACTCAGGAGTTTATCACAGGCTCACAGTTGTCGAATGAGAAACTTGATGGCTCCAACTACTTATCATGGAACAAGACTATGTTGGTGACCTCATGAGGTCTTGGAAAGGCTCAATTTTTGACAAGTAAGCCACTAGCAAAAGAAAGCTCGGAGTATGCAATGTGGGAGCAGGAGGACAATCGAGTGCTTGGACAATTATTCAACTCAATGGCACGTCGAGTAAAGGTGATGTTCAATCAATACTTTACAAGTAAGGAACTTTGGGATGCTTTAAAAATTGTTTATGCAAATTCTGAGAATTGGCAGAGGATCTTAGATGTTACCAGGGCATGGACTAGAATGGAGCAATCCGATAGGAGCCTGAGGGAGTTTTGCTGTGTTCAAGGTGGTATATGATGAATTTAATGAACTCATGCCCCTGTCTACCGATCTAACTCAACCTAGAAGCAACAAAAGGCTCTAGCTATAGTGTTTTTCTTAGCAGGATTGAGGAAGGAGTACGCTAGTGCTAGTACTCAGATGTTAGTAGAAACAGATCCACTTTCTTTACTAGATGCTTATAAGTGCCCGAGCAAGGTCACTCAACATGATCCTCCACCAGAAGACAGGGCAGTATTTGTGGCCCCACAACGTGAAGGGTTACCACCGCGCAAAGGACATGGTGGACGAGGTAGAGGACGTGGAAGTGGTAAGGGAGACCCAGGGTCTTGCTATCATTGTGGATAGCAAGGACACTTACGGAATGTTTGTTCGCAACTTCGGGGCAATTCTGGCCCGCTAGTGGCATGTGTGACTGATGCTATGTTTTGGCCCCAATAGCAAGAGGAGAATGGAGTTCAATTATCCCAGGATGAGTATGACAGGCTTATTCAAATGCTTCAGAATCAAACTTCAATCTTCTCTCCAGCAGCAACTTTTATACAAGGTAAATCTACTACATGTCTAGCTACTTTCTCTAAGACTTGGGTGATTGATTTAGGAGTTTTGAATCACATGACGAGTAGTACAGGTACTTTTTATTCATATGCTCCTCTGTTTTGGTTGCTGATGGAAACTCTATAGATATTGTGGGAAGTGGCAAGGCTCAACCTATACCACGTTACCTTTACATTCCATGCTATATGTCCCTTTTTCTACTTTTAACTTACTTTTAGTTAGTCAGATTACAAGGAATTTAAATTGTAGTGTTTCCTTTTTTCCTACTTATTGTGTTTTTAAAGATCTATTAATGAAGCAGACTATTGGTAGGGGGAGGGTCGAAGGAGGTCTTTACGTGCTTGATAACATATAGAAGATAGTCTAGATTAATGACATGCTCGGGAGAATTATCATCAGCTTATGAGTCTCATTGTTGTTTTAGTCATCCATCTAAGTCAACTTTACGAGCTATGTGTCCTGAACGTCCCTTATTTCCAATCACCCTCAAGGTGTTCGGGTGTACATATTTTGTTCGTGACACTCGTTCAATTCACAGTAAATTAGAACCATGTTCTTTTAAGTGTATCTTCCTAGGTTATTCACATATCTAGAAAGGGTATCGATCCTACTCTCCAAACATGGGTTCCTTTAGTATGTTGACAAATGTCGTGTTTCATGAGTCAGTTTCTTTTCCTTCGGTACTACAGTTTCATCCATCACCTCTAATATCAGAAGAAGATTTTCTCATCCATTAGATACATAGTACAACGGTTGATAATACCAAAATATATATAGTTGTTACATGTTAAAATGGTGCTAAAATTTAAAATTTTGGATGATTTTTGGTGCTTTTCATGATATTTTCATGGCTTTAGGTTTTTTAAGCACAAGACTCATTTTCATGCAAGCCATGCATGTAATCATGCAAAGCTCACATTCGGCCCAACCATGCAAGCACAATGCCGCCCACCATTGGTTCAAATTCAAGCATGCACAAGCCCACTTAGATCCCAATCCATTCGGCCAAGATGAAATTTCAAGATAATCATACTTCCTTTGCTTAGCCAAGAAGAGAATGCATGGCACAAGGACTCTACAAGGTTAATCACATTCGGCCAAAGCAAATCCAAAGAGTTATCATGTATTCCTTCCACAATGGTGAGTAAATGCATTCGGCCAAGATGAAGTTGAAGCTTACTATGAAGATGGTTGATTAATCTTAAAGAATTGGAGTAGGATTTTACTCATTCAAAATTCAAGAATTGGATAAAAATCCAATTTCTCTTGAAACTCCAAGCCTTAGCCAAATCTAATGGAGGAGATTATCCAAGATTTGATCAAGATTCAAGCAAGGGCCAAGATTAATCCACCAAGATTCCATTCGGCCAAGAACACTCAAGCATGGAAAGTCCTATTCGGCCATAAAGCCCAGAAGACCAAGATAAAACTCATCCAATTGTATTTGAATTAAAATCAACCACTTGTGTAGTTTATCCCCCTTAGTCAAACCTATGCCTATAAATAGGCAAGGCCATTCACTTATTTCATCATCCCTCTCCTCACTTCTCTTCTTTTTTTAAGTTCTCTAGTTTCTTTAGTTCTTTATTTCTTTAGTTAAGGTATTGGCTTAAGTGACAGATTTGTCAGTTACCAAGTTCTTGTTCTTTAAAATCTTTGTTCAATCAAGAAGTATTTTCATTCAAAGATTTCTTTTCTTGTTTTTAAAGTTTGCAAATCATGTTTCTTGTTTTCTTTAATTTCGGCTAAGCATCCTTTTCCAAGATTGATCCAAGTTTCTTTGTTTTCTTTGCAAGATTCGGCTACACTCTCTTTTACATGTTCTTTAATTTCTTTCATGCAAGTTTAATTTTCTTTCAAAGCAATTCGGCATTCTTGTTTACAATCTTTTAATTCTCGGCTTTCAGATTAGTTGTTGGCATTAATCTTTTACTTCTCAAGTGATTTGGTGAAGTTTAGAACCTTGTCATACATTACCTTTAATCTTTACTTGATCCGTATCTATTTAAACCCTGTAACCTTAAAACCTTGAATATTTAATTGTTTAGATATAGGTTCTCAGCCTGAACTATCCAACACTACATTCTATAATCCCTGAAAAGACAATACTTGGAATATTCCACTTTATTACTTGATTTGTGCACTTGTAAGCTCTATTTAAAAAGTAACAGCAATCACCAGTCAATGCATCTCCTTCTAAGGCATGCCCAGATAAACGATTTGGTCATACGTACACTAGAAGGACCTGCGTAGATCCGACTAAGGAAACTTCCCTTATCGAGACAATCTCTCCATCAATGGATCCACCTCGAGACATTATGGCTGAATATGTACCAATTGCTCTACAGAAAGGTACGCGAACTTGTGAAAATTCTCTTTTATAAAAGCCCTCATACAAAGGACTATCTGCTTATCTTCAGACTTGTATTGCCACAATTGATGCTATTACTGTGTCACGTGCTCTTCGTGATGCTTTTGTAGATTCAAGATAGTGTAAGGCTATGGAGGATAAGATGATGGCCCTAGAGGCCAACCATACATGGGACTTGGTTTCCCTACCAAAAAGGAAGCAAGCTATTGGGTGCAAGTGGGTTTACACCATAAAATTGAATCCCGATGGTTCATTAGCTAGATTGAAGGCAAGACTAGTAGCAAAGGGATATGCATAGACATATGGAGTATATTATTTTGATACTTTTCACCAGTGGCAAAGACGACATCTATACGCCTATTTTTCAATTTTGCTTCTACACATAAATGGGCATTACATCAATTGGATGTGAAGAATGCTTTCCTACATGTTGACTTGACTGGGGAGGTATATATGGATCAACCAATGGGCTTTGCTGCTCAGGGGGAGTTTGGGAAGGTGTACCGTTTGTGTAGGTCTCTGTATGGTCTGAAGCAATCGCCACATGTGTGGTTTGGGAAATTTAGTGCAACTCTTGTTCAGTATGGCATGCGACAGTGAGAAGGATCATTCAATATTTTAAATATGACAGAGTTCTAGCCTTATATTGTTGGGAGTGTATGTAGATGATATCATCATCACCGGCAGTGATAGTACAGGGATTAACAAACTTAAGATGTATCTTAAGTCCCAATTTGCGACCAAGGATCTTGGTCAATTGAAATATTTTTTGGGTATTGAAGTGGCAAGGTGTAAAAAGAGAATATTTGTATCTTGGAGGAAGTATGTGCTGGATATTTTGAGAGATGCAAGCTTGCTCCATGCCAAGCCAAGAGACACACCGATGGATCCAGGTATCAAGCTTTCTCCAAAAGATGGCATTTTACTTGATGATCCCACACCTTACAAGAGACTATGGGGAAAACTAAACAACTTGACCATAACAAGACCTCATATATCTTTTCTAATGAGTGTGGTAAGTCAATTCATGGTAGCTCCCAGAGATCTTCATTGGAGAGCCACGATGCACATCCTCCAATATTTGTTGAGAAATCCTAGAAAGGGAATACTCTACAGTTCTACTCGCGATGAGGGTACTCGATCCTATACAGATGTAGATTGGGTAGGCTCTCCTATAGATAAGAAGTCTACATTTGGTTATGCTATATTCCTTGGGAGTAATCTAGTGTCCTGAAAGAGCAAGAAGTAGCAATTAGTTGCTAGGTTAGCGCAAAATTAGAGTATAGAGCCATGGCTTTGGCTACAATAGAGGTATTATGGATGGTTCGATTCTTAGATGAAATTGGGCTTTTAGTTCGGACCCCTACAAAGTTATGGTGTGATAATCAGGCGATGATTCATATTGCTTCCAATCCAGTATTTCATGAAAGAACCAAACATATAGAAGTTGATTGTCATTTCATTAGGGAAAAGTTGCAGAGAGGAACAATATTATTGAAACATGTGCACTAAAGGGAACAACTAGTCGATGTTCTTATGAAATCACTTCCAGGAGTTCGAGTTGACTAATATGTAACAAGATGAGCATAACTGATATATATATATATATATGCTCCAGCTTGAGGGGGAGTGTTAGTGTATGCTTGTGTGTGAGTTGGAATATTATAGGAATATTCCAATGGAGATAGTTTAGGAGGGATTAATTGGGAGCATTAATGTGTAATTTGTAATTGATTCTCTTTCCTTAGTCTCGTCTATATAATGAAAGGCTAATCCAAGGGATTAGCAAGTTGATCTCTAAAGCCTTAATTCTAACAGCACTAATGTCTTTACAAAAATGGAATGGACATTAAAGGAGACATACACTTTATTGCTTTTGGTTCAAGCTGCATTTCACAACATGCATCTCAAGAAGGTATGAATGTGCTCAAAATGACTACGCATCAAGCTTATGCCTTACAATCACAAACCCAATTCTCTACAAACCCACTCTGCTTCAACTCCTTTCATATGCTAACAACAAATAATTAATGTCTTTTGATAATAGGTGTAATAATGATTCCTAAATGATTACTTGCATACTTGTTTCTACTCTATAACATTCCTAAATGATTACTCGCATACTTGTTTCTACTCTATAACTGTGCCTGCTCATATTACCTTCATCATCTTTAATAACTCCTAGGCATCAAGATTTAACAGTAAACCAAACTACAAAATGCTAATGAAAATGGACTCTTCTAGATATCACATAAAAAAGTATTTACATAAGATGGATTCGACAAAATTTATACGAAAGGTTTTCATATCAGTTAATGTAAACCAGAATTTTGGACTTAAAGAGATGGTTGTGCAGATGAAGGTATTTTTGCAGAACTTTGAGATTCAACTTGTTAGGATTTTGGTGATTACAGGGTTGCAGATATTTAAAAGGAAGCAAGCAAATAACACAATTAGCAATTTGCTAGGGAAGAAAAAAAGATGGTAAAATATAATGAAAGAGCTGTAGACATTTTTGAGAGCATTTAGACATAATTATATCCATTAAAGGTATGATCTGATTTGTTTATGGCATAGGTTGAGGAGGTGGCTTAGGAGTGTAACCGCATATAATAAATAGAACTGAAGAAACAGAGGCAAAAGAAGAAAAACTAAACTGCCAAGGAAGAAAAAGAGAAATAGTAAATTACTGAGAAAATATTGAGCAAACTTGGCCAAAAGAATCTAGAAGAAACTAAGTATAATGGAGGCCATCTCTTGTTCCATCACTGTCAAGAAGAAATCACAAAAATCACAATAACAACAATCCCAACAACATACCCTTACTATTATTAAACTACTACAGTCTCATGAAGAGTGTACACTTAAGCTGCAGATTTTTTATTTAAAAAATATAAGCAATAAATGTATAAAATGCAGCAATCATATGATTCAAACTGAATCTATTAATGGCTTTGACTATCATCATTACCATGCTTCATGAAGAAAAAGTCTTTTAAATTGAGTGCAACTCATAACCTTAGCCCTAGGTTTCCAGAGAGGATACCTTTTGTCTAACTCATAAAAAATGTACAACAAAAGGGTGTTACACAAGTTTCATGTCTGTACCTACCACCAAATCATAGTACGCTGAATAGTATTGAGGGAACTTTCTAGAAGCACCACCAAGGGATGTCTGAGTAGCATCTAAAAGCAGAAATATTCTCTCTTGTACAGGCAAATCCAACTGTGACAAAGGAAAGAATAATAAGAAAACCACTAGAGTTGTACAAAATCGATGAACAATTGTAGAAATGAAACAAGTGTACACCTTTTTCTTCACTACTTTCACAAGAATAGATAGAATTCCTGTATGAATCACCTCCTTATGAACATTTTCACCAATATTGTTCATCAACATCTCCAATAGCTGCAAAATTAGGCGTTAAAGAATGTGTTTTCAAGCTGCAGAACAACATATGGTCAGATTGTCATTAAGCAAAAATAGCCTATACTCACCAATACAGCATACAATTGAGTATTTGGGTTTTTGCTCCCCAATCGTTTCTTAATTCCTTTAACATCTTTAGCTTGCCTGTGTAAAGAAATCATAAAACAACACCAAATAAACAAAAAGAAAAATTGTAATGGAATATAGTCAACCCAGAACAATGAACTGAAGCGTCAATTTTAACAAAACTCTTAGTGGTCATTTTCATTTAAAATAAAAATATATATAAGGGGAAAAAAATACTACCTTTGATCTCGAGCAACTAACTCACAAATTTCAATGTTTTTTGTCCAGTCCATCTCAGGCAATTTCTCACTTGTAGCAGAATTGACGAGCTCAGCTGCCATTTCTGCTTTTTTCTGAATGAACTAAAATTAATAGAAAATAAGAACACTGACAACAACATGAATAGATCAGCAAGAAAAAAAATACATAGATCACTGCAGATACAAGTTCAAAAAGTAAATAGACTAATAAAGTTCCGAACTAAAATTATATAGTCATGTAAAAAGAAAATCAGATAAGAAGAAGCAATTTAAACTGAGATCTGTCATTCATGCATCAGCATGTTTCAGATTCAAGATATAATAAATAATACATATTGTGGGAAAACATTTATTTACAGCTGGTTGTAATCTTATAATCTATATATTTATATTTGTATCTCTAGAATTAAGTATTAGTATCCCTAGAATGAAGGGCAAAAAATTAAGATAGACAATCCCTCAATTATATGATCAGTTTTAAGAAGACTTAGTTTTCTAGTTTACCCACTAGTTAGTTGTATATAACCCAAAGGTGCTTGTATAATTCTTTATGAGCAGTTTTTCAATATACAGTCAATTTTACTCTTAGTTTTCCATTCAATTTAACATGGTATTAGAGCGTTAGGCACTTTTTGGGAAAATTTTTTCAGCCTTCATTGCTGAATTCTATTTCAAGCTTTCATAGCCAAATCTTGTTAAATATTTCAGCCTTATTTTTTCCTTCTTTGGCCTTCATTGCCTAGAATCGTCTTTGGTTAAGCCTTTACTATCAAGACTCGTTTCAGTTCTGAGAAAGATAACCATACCAGAGATAGCAGAATCTGTCACTACTACCCGATTTAAGAAAGTGACAACTCGTAAAACCACCGGAGTACTACAAAAGTCTCAAGAACAAAGAGAGTTGGATAGAGAAGAGATTGAGAAACTAAAAAGCCTATTGAAAACTCTCGAAAAGCCTATTGGAGTATATTCTTTAGGTAAGGTCTCCAGTTCAAGGAAAGCTTTTGATTCTTATTGATTAAATGTCTCGATTAAGTCTATTACAAATTCTTGGGTCGTTAACTCAGGAGCCACAAACCATATGACACATTCCTCATAGAAATTTAGTATATATATCCTGTGTCCTAGTAATAAGAAAATTGTTGTTGCAAATGGTTCACTTACTACAATAGCAGGATTAGGAGATATTCAAATTAATACCTCATTTGTTCTTAAAAATGTTCTTCATGTTCCTGAATTGTCTACTAATCTGATATTTATACAAAAACTTATCAGAGACCTAAATTGCAAAGTGAATTTTTATCCCTTTTATTGTGAATTTCAAGACCAGAGTTCAGGAAGAGGATTGGACTTGCTAAGGAAAAGGATGGATTATATTATCTTGAGACATCAAACAACACAAGTAATACAAAAAACAGTTTACCTTTATCATTTCTTTCCGAAAAATCTCCCAATAAAGACAAAATCTGACTTTATCATTTTCGTCTTAGACATCCTACTTTTGGAACTTTGAAAAACATGCTTCCTTCTTTGTTCAAAGGATTAAATGCAAAAAATTTTCATTATGATAATTGTGAACTTGCAAAGCATAGACGTTTGTCTTTTCCAGTTAGCAAAAAAATAAGTTCTATTCATTTTACTTGATTTATAGTGACATATGGGGTCCCTCTACAATTCCTAATACTTCTGGTGCAAGGTGATTTGTTTCTTTCAGAATGATTGTACCAGGGTCTCTTGGATATTTTTACTTAAATCCAAATCAAATGTGAATAATGTGTTTTTAAGCTTCCAAAACATGATCCAAAATCAATTAGAGTGAAAATCAAGAGATTTAAGTCTGATAATGCAAGAGACTATTTCAACTAGAGTTTATCTACCTATTTACAAAAGGAAGGGATTATTCATGAATCATCTTGTGTTAATACTCCATAGCAAAATGGAGTGGTAGAGAGGAAAAACAGTCACTTACTAGCCACAACCCTAGCTTTACTTTTTCAAGCAAACATATGAAAATCCTACTAGGGGAAGCTGTTCTCACTGCCACACATATTATAAATAAGTTACCTTCAAGGGTTTTGGGATTCAAAACTCCTATGGAACAACTCTAACAATTTTATCCCAACTTTAATACCATAAACAACCTCACACCTAGGATATTTGGTTGTACATCATTTGTTCATGTTCAAAGTCACAATAAGGGGAAGTTGGATCCTAGAGCAATTAAGTGTATTTTTGTGGGATATTCATCAACTCAAAAAGGGTATAGGTGCTATCATCCTCCTACCAAAACATTTTGTGCATACAGACGTCATTTTTTAAGAAAGTAAACCATTTTTTACTCAACCTTATCCTCAGGGGGAGACTTCATTCATGAAAGGTAAGGATAAAGACTTTTTTTTTGCTTGATTTGTCCTCTTCAACATTTTCACCCATTAATTCTTCTGAATAGAAACCTGTTTCTTCTGAGTCCAAGTCAAACACTGAATTTGAGTCTGAACCCATTCCAAACATAGAAGATGTGACAAAGGATAATATTATTCTTGATTCTATGAAGAAAGTACAAGGGTTCTCAAGAAGAAAAGTTCTAGATCATGAACCAATGCAAGTCCAAGAACCTGATCCTAACTCTGGAAATGAGATAATTACAATCTTTGACTCTGTTTCTCAAAATAAGCATGAATCTCCTAAAACTATAACTAGTGATTATGATCTGCCTATGGTCATTAGAAAGAAACTAGAAAATATACTAAGCATCCATTATTCCCAATCTTTAATTTTGTGTCATTTGAAAAATTCTCACCATCCCACAAAGATTTTTTTGTGAGCCTAAACACTATTTCTGTTCCAACTACATTATCTAAGGCATTATTCAGTGAGAAATGGAGGCAAGCCATGAAATTAGAAATGGAGGCCTTAGAGAAAAATAAGACATGGGAACTGGTAAAGTTGCCTAAAGGAAAAAATTCAGTAGGATGTAAATGGGTTTTCATTGTAAAATACAAGGCAGATGGTACTATTGAAAGGTATAAAGCCAGATTGGTGGCTAAGGGCTATACTTAAACTTATGGAGTGATATATCAGAAAACTTTTCTCTAATTGCAAAGATGAATACAATTAGGATTTTGTTATCATTGGCTGCAAATTACAATTGGCAACTTCAACAATTTGATGTAAAGAATGCTTTTCTAAATGGTGATTTGGAAGAAGAAATATATATGAAGTTCCACGTGGATTTGGAGATCATCTAGAAGCAAGCAAAGTATGCAAGCTAAAAAAGGCTTTATATGGCCTTAAACAGTCTCCTAGGGCTTGGTTCGGGATTTGCCAAAGTGATGCTAGCAATGGGATATAAGCGGAGTTAAGGAGATCCCACATTGTTTATCAAGCATTTTGATTCAGGGAGAGTCAGAGTTCTATTAGTGTATGTTGATGATATAATTGTAACTAGAGATGATGAAAAAGAAAGAGAATCCCTAAAACAATGTTTGTCTAGAGAATTTGAGATAAAAGAGCTAGGGAGATTGAAGTACTTCTTAGGAATTGAAATAACTCACTCATAATATGGTATTTTCATCTCACAACAGAAATATGTGATGGATCTTTTGAAGGAAATTGGGAAGCTTGCATGTAAACCTGCAAATACCCCTATAGATCCTAATCATAAACTTGGAGAAGCTAATAAAGATACTGCTGTAGATAGAGAAATGTACCAGAGATTAGTTGGAAGACTCATTTATCTCTCATATACTAAACCTGATATACCATATGTTGTGAGGGTGCTAAGTCAATTTATGCATAGTCCTAAAAAAAAGCCCCTACAAGCTCTCTACTGTGTATTGCACTATTTGAAGGCCAATCCTGGGAGAGATATCTTATTCAAAAGAAATTTGAAACTAGTTCTAGAGATATATACAGATGCTAATTATTAAGATTCAGTAACTGATAGAAGATCCACCTTAGGCTATTGTGTCACGGGCCGAGACTTAAGCTCTAGGCTCGTGTGGCTCCAGGATCTGGGCATGCACTCATCCGACGTTCCAGATCAACCTATCTACCACGGTTCACACCCTTGTGAGGTATTTTCCGCTTTAGCCCCCCTGACCTCACGGTTTTGTCCTACAAAATGTGCCTCACAAGGCAGAAGTGGTGTGAACCATGGCAATTAGACTGATCTGGGATGCTGGATGAGTGGATGCCCGGGTCCTGGAGCCGTGCGGGTCAGAGCTTAAGTCTCGACCCATGACAATTGCACTTTCCTAGGTGGTAATCTTGTAACTTAGAGGAGTAAAAAACAGAATGTGATGGCAAAATCAAGTGCTGAAGAAGAGTTTAGAGCAATGGCTCAAGGAATTTGTGAATTACTATGGTTAAAGATTATCCTAAAAGACTTGACGATCAAGTGGGATGGACCAATGAGACTCTACTATGATAACAAGTCTGCAATAAGCATTGCACACAATCCTGTGCAACATGACAAAACAAAACAAATTAAAGTAAACCAGCATTTCATAAAGAAGAAACTAGACAGTGGGTTGATTTGTACACTATATGTATCAACCAAGGGTCAACTTGCAGATGTGTTGACTAAAGGTCTTAGCAATACAACATTTCAAGAAATTATTTCCAAGCTGAGAATGGAAAACACCTATTCACCAGCTTGAGGGGGAGTGTGAGAAAACACTTATTCACAGCTGGTTGTAATCTTGTAATCCATATATTTATATTTGTATCTCTAGAATTAAGCATTTGAATCCCTAGAATGAAGGATAAAAAATTTGGATAGACAATCCCTCAATTATAGGATCAATTTTAGGAAGATTTAGTTTCCTAGTTTACCCACTAGTTAGTTGTATATAAACCTAAGGTGCTTGTATAATTCTTTACAATTAATTTTTCAATATACATTCAATTTTACTATTAGCTTTCCATTCAGTTTAACACATATTAATAGACTTTCAGCAATTCATATGGACAGTGTGCTTATTGGCATGTACAATTTTATTGGTAAAAAACTAAACACCAATCTCTAGACCTATGACCTTGAATTAATAACAAAAACCTCAAATCATATAGGTTACATAAAGGGTCAGTCAGTCAACGTTTACAACTATCAAATATGTTACTTTAATTACTATCAATTTTAGTAACGGGCTTAAATCATTATCTACGAGTTGTGAGGTGGTACAAATACCCAAGGTTTGCTTGTATATATGTACATATATAAACATATGTTGGATATATAAGCATGTAGTGCCTCGGAAAAGCACATTAGCATAGGCCCCAACATTAAATTATCTATTAGTTCTGTTTTCTTCTTGCTCTCAATATTTTCCTTACCCCAGCTCCATGGTTCAAAAACGTTGCGAGCATTTTTTTTTAATAGCATTTCATGGAGAAATAATAAATGCACAACTCCTACTCCTCCTTCTCCAAATCCCTCCCAGCCTTCTCTTGAAAAATAGAAGAAAAAATAGTCAAATGGAAAGTAATTCAATAATGCTATGTTGCTTGAACCAGCATTTAACAGAAGATATCAACAGATTTTATTTATGTAGGTATTTATTATTTCTTTTTGCAATTACATCTGCATTCCCGTCATTTGTAAACCTATTTTTACTCAGATAATACCACTTCAAGTCATACCCATGTTCAATTTAAGTCTCTTCTTTAGCCAAAATGAAAAAAGAAAAAAATTACTTCTCTTGAATCAGAACTTTACTATGTGACAAATGTGTTAACTCCTCAAGGAAGCTCTCACTCTTACATGTCTGAGAAGAAAAAGAATCACATACATGTATAACCAATCGCAATTCACCAGTCCAAAGTATAAATAATGAGATATGGTATTTAGAAAAAATCTACAACCACTTCTTACATATTTAGAACTATACATGACACATGAATATATACATTGAATACCATTTTTTTCCAGCAAATCAATAACCCAAAAGCTCATACTGTAGAAGAACATAACACTTACAGAAAATTTCAAGCAAAAAGCCAAAACTCAAGGAATGATTTTAGAATAAGCAAATCAGGCAATTAATTATGTGATAGAACTACATGCACAAATGCAACAAAAAGAAAGACCTTAGAATAAATAAAGCAACAATAGAGGGTCATTCAATTAGTTAATCAACTCCTCAAATCCTTGGAGAAACGAGACAAACCTTTGATAGAGGAAGAGCGAAACTAGTTGAGCGGTTTTTTTTTCTTATTAGCAGCAACTTTTAATTGCATACAGCCTCACTTGTTACTCTGCAAACAACAAAACAACACAGTTTGGAAAAACATTAAAGTACACCATCAGTGGTAAAATAAGTGAAGAATAAATGACCTCGAAAGAAAAGGGTGAATTGAGAAAACCAACTTATTAACTCAAAATTATCCAATTGAAAAAACAGGTTCAGATCTCAATTGCTTTCAATCTTATATATCTTTCTAAACCAAATTAAAATAACTTCTGAAAAAAGAAAAAAACAGAACAAACATTTCATCGCAGGAACTCTAAACGACGGCGTACCTGTACAGACAGAGACCACGTAAAGGAACACGTGATAACCCTAAAAAGCTTCCACTCGGATACAGAGACTAAAAGACGAAGCGAAGCAGCAATTTACCAAAACTGAGCTTTAAAACAGATTAATAAAGCTTAAATTTGGTTATTTATTTATGGTAATAATAACAATAATTTAATGAAGGAATTCCACAGTGCCGATTAAATGAAATTCCCTTTTTAAAGCTTGGGCAGATTGATTGAACCTTGCAGCAGCAGTGATCGCCATGCCGATGAGGAGCTGTCCAAAGCTTCCTTTTCCTAACGTCGCTTGAAGTTAAAGGTGAGCTGTCGTTATTTCTTTGCGCTTTTTTCTTTTTGGCGGCGTGCCAAGGATGCTCTGGACACTCAAAGTCCCAACTCATTCAAAGCGCAAAATGATTTTTTTCTTTTTTTTAAGAATGGGATTTTTGCTAATTGTTTAAGGTTAGTTGGAGTATGGTTATATTTTTATCCTTATAATTAATATAATAAATTTTTCTTTAATTTTTAAAATTATTATTTTGTTCTCTTAATGTATATAAACTAGTTTGTAAACGTACCATACATGGATTAGTTTTATTAAATTATATACTATATTCACAAAAATTAGTATTTCTCACAAATATTATGCTACTTTTTGGTTTATAACTTTTTAAAAAATATCTTAAGATAAAAGTTTAAAAAAATATGTAGTTAAAATAAAAATATAATAGTAATATAAAAAATGTTCATGGCCAAGTCGATAAGCTAATAAAAGTCCATTTAAACCTGTTTAGTTTAAATTTAATATTAAATTGTTAAAAATATATTTTTATATTAATATTTCAATATTTTAAAATTAAAATTAAATATAAAATTAATATTTAACATTAAAAATAACCTAATTGAGTCAAATTAGACTTAAATTAAAAAATTTTACTTAAATTTTCATTCAGGTTTAACAGATTATTTAATTAACTATAAATAAATCTAAATAATAATAATAACTATACATTCTCTCTCTCTATCTATTTATCTATCTATTTGCATAGTTTATTTTTCGTTTACTTCCAAGATTATGAGAAATTTTAAATATTTAGTTAAAATTTAAAAACTTTTTTATTATTAATATTTAGCAATATATCGAATATCTATCTAACCATAAGATAAAAAACTTTGAAAATTTTACTTATTTGAAATATATAAAAAGATAGTTTGAATATCATACTAATATCATACTCAATGAGTTTCAAACTTAAAAAATATGTGGCAAACAAACCAAAAGTGTCATGGGTTGCATTACATGCATTAAATTGCAATATTTAAATCATTTTAACATCATATTTAATATAAAATATCAAAGAAAAAAAATTAAAGATATAACCATAACATATAAATTCGTAAATTTATCACTAGATACAATTTATGAGTTATCACCATTTTTTTTTATTTAGGTGTAATCAGCTATTTAACTTAATCTGTCCCATTTAAAAAAAAAGTTTCAAACTTAACTTGAGTATTTTTAAGAAGTAGATTTTAGTATATGAAATCAAAAATAGATCAAGGAGTATGGTTATGCATGAAAAAAGTTATAATGTCCTCATAACGCTTATCCGAATGATGGTACCAATTGATTTTGTGTTATCCAAACCTTAAAACATGCACTACAAAAGAATAGATTTTTAACAATATTTTTTTTTCACGCTTAGCAACGTTTATAAACACTGCTAAACAATTCACAGTGTTTGCCAAAAACACCATTAAAAGTGTCGGTTATACCTACGTTGAGGAAAATTGCTATGTTTTAAGGAAAAACACCGCTAACTTAGTGGCATTTGTAGTGATCACTATGTTAGGAATTTTACTTTTTTTTATTTCTTTCAATATTTACTACTGTAATTAAATAAAAAAATATTGAAAGAAATCAATATGAATTTAAATTCATAAACTGAATATTATAAATATTGAAATATCTAAATACATAATCTGTTCCAAAATGCATGTGAAACAAAGTTTAATACTATTATATTCAAATTGTTTTAGTATATTAACCAAAAATTTAAAATGTATGAAATTGATAACCATTTAGACTTGGAGCACTATCATTTGATGAATGATTTTTTTCACCATGATCATAGCATGCTCAAGAACCTACTAAATAAAAAGTCTTTATACTTAATAATAAGCTATTTCTGATATTAAAAATTATAAGTAGTTACTAAATAGAATGCTTGATTGGTGGACCACTTGATCGGTCCTTGAAAATTATTGTTGCACAAAATTTATAAAAGTGTTGAATCGATCATGCAACTACTAAAATATTGCATACTCTTGACCTATTTTAGCATGTTCTTATTCAATTTTAGCACATTCATTTTTTTTGCTGGATACGTTATTGCATTGTTTATAACTCCTCTTTCAATATGGAAATATCTTATAAAGACTGACTTGCTGAATAAATGAAATTTTGTATCACTATAAATGTTAAAGCAATAGAATTTTTAAAATTTTAATTTCATAAAGCCAAGATCATTTACAAGCATACATAGTTTCAGTTAAAGGTGTTACCTTGAATATCAAAAATTCTTTGGTTCAGTTTGGTGATCTTCCAAATAGATTTTGAGTAAAAAAATTACCAAAGTATTTAGCCTCTAATGGTGATCCACAAGAATTCTTGTGAAAGAACCTTCTTTAAGGTTTTGTAAACTCAAAACCACACTATAGCTAGTAAGTGTTTTCAAGACTTTTTGTATTTTTTTAAGTTTCTCTCTAAATACTTGGTTTTGTTACTCTTACTTATAAGAAGAGGCAGCTTGTTGTTATTTTTATAGGGGAAACATTTGGCCACATTAGGTTTAATGCTTGGAATACAAATTTTCATAATTAACTCTATGCTAGTAAAATGTACCAAACAAGAGAAGCTCTTTCTCTTGTTTTTATTTCCTCTTTTTGGGTCATACCAAAATCAAATTAAGTCTAACATAATTTGTTCTAATTTTAATCTTTTATAATTATCCAATTGTGTGTGACCTATTAGTTTTTTAGCATGTCAACAATAAACACAAGCATTGTATGTCTTAGCATTTAGCTATAGATGAAACAAACTTTTTATCTTCATTACCAATTCTTCAATTAGTCAATTTTATGTTTATAGATTATGATTAATGCTAGCTTTATTGTCATGACCCCCAACTGCTAAAGAAAAGTTTATGACTTGACAACCTATCCATGAATGATCTTAGTGTATAATTAATATCTTTTTATCACATAGTATCTTGATTTGAACATTTAGTATGGTTTACTGTCTACTCAAGCTTATTCAACCATATTAAGCCTTGCCCTTGACATTAACTCCCAAATAAGTTTTAGAGCAATCTAAAATCTTATTTCACTTTGACTAAAGATTTCTCAAGTTAATTCAATCAAGACTAGTTAAGATACTTTCATGATCACATAAGGTTATGAATCCCATCTTGATTACTTTATGCATCTTTATATGCCTCATGTTATACCTAACAATATTCGACTAAAGCATTCTTAGTTAGAACCATAAGTATAGTAAAGTTAAAGTATAACATTCATCATATAAGATTATAAGTAATCTTAAGTCAAAAGATTACTTATACAACCATCACATGAGAATGTAGCTATAGACACTATGTGAACTATCATATAGCATTCTTATATCAAGTCATATTCAATGAACTTATTCTTATAACAAGTACCCATATGTTAGCTCAAGTTTATCTAAACTTTAACTTATAAGATTAGTTACTTACTTCATAAGCAAAAGTATAATCAAGTGCTAGCCTCAACAACTTTTGTCAATGTCTTTTTATTGATAAAGCATCGACTAGGAACAATTTTGGAATATATAGATTTTATGCAATAATGATCTCATAATTATAATCTCATTGTAATTCTCTTGCAAAGTTTTATTTATATTCCAAAGACTTTATCATATAAGCATCAACATTGAAATTATGTATACAAGTTCAATGATAAAAAATAAAAACTTTTACAAGATATCAAATATCAAAGTACTACAAATATGAATGTACTTAGCCAAAATATGATTTGACTTAAAGAGCAAATACCAACAATTACTTACTTACGCTAAAGCCAATCATTCATATATCTAATACCATATTTAATTATATGCTTTTTATGTTTCTATTGGGACATAACTTTAGTAAAAGGATCAGCAATGTTATCTTTAATATGTACTAGTTCAATTTTAACATTACCTTTAGAAACAAAGTTTCTAATGAGATGATATCGCCTCAATACATGTTTGGATCTTTGATAAGATTCTTTGGCTTGAACAATAGCTCTATTGTTGATATGATAAACTGTTATGGATTAACAATGCTAGGAACAATGTTTAGTTTAGTTACAAACTTCTTAATCCAAATGGCCTCTTTTACAATCTTAAATACAGAGACATATTCGTTTTCGGTTGCAGAGTTTGCAATTGTACTCTATTTAAAACTTTTCCAACTTACTACTCCACCATTTAGAGTGAAAACATAGCCATTTTATGACTTGTTATCATCTTTATTAGATTGAAACCTTATACATCACAATAGCCCTCAATAAGGAGTTTGACTCCACCATAAACAAGAAACACATCCTTAGTTCTTTTCAGGTACTTAAAGATTATTTCATGGCTTTCCATTAACATTCACTTGGATTTGCTTGATATCTACTTGTTATGCTCAAACATATGAGATATCAGGCCTTGTAGATAGCATTGCATACATAATAGATCCAATTGCTAAAGCATATAAAACTTTATTCATGTTATCTTTCTCAATTTGTGTTTTAAGACACATGCCTTTAGAAAGATTTATTCCTTACAAGATTGACAAGAATCTTCTTTTGGATTCTTCTATACTAAACCATTTTACACTTTATTTATGTATTCAAATTGTGAGAGACCAAGCAACCTTTTTAATTTATCTTTATAGATCCTTAAGCCTAAAACATATGTTTATTCTCTTAAATCCTTTATGGAGAACTTTTTTGATAACCAAATCTTAGTAGATTGTAGCATGGGTATATTGGATCTTATAATCAATATGTTATCCACATAAAACACTATGAAAATGATTGCATTTCCACTTATCTTATTGTATACACAAAGTTTATCTATATTTTTTATGAATCCAAATTCTATAATTGCTTTATCAAAATATATATTCCAACTCCTTGATGTTTGTTTAAGTCCATATATAGACCTTAGAAGCTTACACACCATGTCGGCATTCATTTTAGATTCAAAAACCTTTGGGTTATGTCATGTACACATCATTTTGCAAATTCCCATTAAGGAATGCTGTTTTGACAATCATTTGGCATATCCCATAGTCATGGTATACAGCAATAGCAAGCAAAATCCTAATAGATTTTAGCATGGCTATTGTTAAAATTTTTTTATCAAAATCAACTCTTTATTT